TGGGTCACGAACTTGAATTTGATCATAACGATACTTATAGCAGATTACGGCAAAATAGCATCATTAGAAACCAATTTCTATCTGATAAATTCGTATGTTAGAACTACAAAAATACTCCTGGCGAGGTTACTGTTTTATGTTTACAGCTTTCTAACGATACCAAATTAACACCGAAGGAATTTTCACACGTTTTATTCATACAGTTTCGAAAACGGAAGTATGTTATTGAGCGGAAAACCACTATTATTGGGAAATATCTGTATATTTTAAAATTTAATCAGAATTTTCCGATTACGTAAACTATGAAAATAAAAAAGTGGATATTGTGAAATTTTACAACAGCCAAAGATCGGCACAATTTTTGCTTCCTTTGGGCCTAATCTGGACTAAATAACTAAATTAATTTTGTTGTAAATGCATTAATTAAATAGTGTGATAAACACCGCCTTTATATTTATAAACAGTGGGATCAGATCTTTCAAATGAATGAATGAATGAATGAATGAATGAATGTCTTGGTTTCCTCTGAACAAATCCGAAGATTCTCAAAACATCAGAATTATGTAATGAAATAATTAAATAACAAAATAATCAAACATATATATGAATGTCCCTCATATGTATAGTCTGTAAACAGTGAGAAATATTGGTTAGATATTTTTATTTGATATAAATACTTTGAGAATCCTATAATAGTGAAATGCCACGTTAATTCATCAATGTCATTGTTATGTGCACCAAGAAAGAACGCCAACATATCATGGTCTTCCATCATCTCTAATTTAACATACATTTCAACACCACGATTATCAATTAGAGTGGAAAAGAATACACCTCTCTCTCTGAAAGTATACATTAACAGTTTAAGATGACATGGTGATAATAATCATGAACAAAAGTATTACATTTTGTACATTCCTTACATATTTTGCTTCTGGATCCAATCCTAATTACATACTGTATTTCTTCTCTCAATTCTGGATGTAACATTACAATGCTGTATAACAAATGAAGAGTAAGCGTTGAGCGAATTTTAGAATATCGAAACAGGTCAGGTCCACATGATAATTTATATTGCCATACCTCTTCCTCGTGGGTAGTTTCATGTAATACAATCTATTGCGCGTATTCTTCGCAGGGAATTCCCCTGTGCAAACGTAGTAAAATACTTGATGAAGTAGATTATATTTCTTAGCTGTTGAAAGCAACACTCCACATAAACTCCACATAAATTATTGTTAAGAAAATAATAGAGTGACGTAGATGCGCAGTAAACAGTTTTACAAATTGAGACACATGAGTTGTTGCAAAGACGCCCCAACAGCTGTAGTCTACATTTTGCTATATAGCCAACCATGCTCCAAAGTCCTTAGATTAGCAATAGTGGCATGAATAGGAGAACGTTTGTCAAAACCATGTATAATCCTGGAAAAGTAACGTTGGGTGCTTTCAGCTCATTCAGGATCTTTACCATGGTAAAGTAATCCACATCTATAAAAACTTGTTGTTAAAATCATTCTTTTCCATATCTGAATATTTGCATACTGATGTAAATCACTCTATGTAGACCAACAGAGAGGAGAGAGTTAATACTGCGCCCTACTTTTGTGCAGCTCTCTTCAATATATAATTTGAAAGGACGATTACTTTGTAGAACAACACCCGCATATTTTACATCATCAAACACAGGTATGTCATAATCCCCAAAGTGATTATAATTGCTTCTTTTAATGAAACATAACAATTTTACTTTTCGATGCATTATAAGTTTGGATGCGTTATTAACAACTGTATCTAAAGCTGTTTACAGACCTTTAGGGCTGAAACTGAGTTGTATCATCAGCAAGTAGCACGCATGGCAAACTAGCATTATATATGCATATTCCTGCATCTAACTGCCGAAGCTAAGTTATGAGGTCATTTATGTACACAAGAAGAAGTCAAGCTGAGATAACTCTACCCAGACCTATACCTTGTCTAACAGCAAATGCATCAGATTGTTCGCCCTTATACTAAACACACGCAAACATGAAAGTATAACAGTGATGTAACAGAGACCACATGTTACCTCATACCAAAGATGATAGAGTTTTACAAAGAGACCCGAGTGCCATATCCGATCAATAGCTTTCTCGTTATCTAGAAATGCTGTGTAGATACATGTTCCCCTGTTAACACAGCTTTGTACACATTCCATGAGGGTAAATAGCGACAGCAACGTGCTCAAACTGCAACATATCGGGAAAATTACAGGCATTTCGGGATGTCCACGTTTCTAATGTGTCTAGGAGAATGTTCTCAAAAAACTTACTAAGGCAAGATGTTAACGTAATACCTCTATAATTGACAGGGTTTGATTTATCTTTGTTACCCTCATAAATAGCTATAATTATCTTTAGGCTGCAGGTGTGTACTGAAGTCTTAGAATTGCATTAAATAGTGGTGCCAACTCCCGCACTAGCAGCTCACCGCCAAACATCACATGTTTATTATCAACAAAGTCAGGGCCAGATGATTTTTTTCCTCATCAGTTTCTGTACATATCTAGAGACTTCGTGAACGGATATTTCAGCACACAAAATCCGTAAAGCAAGTTAAAAAGGAGATATAAATAGCCAACGCAGAGAATAAACAATGTCGATTATCTGCCAAAACAAATTCAATTGGGCGTAAAAGGAAAATAGTGGTGAAAGTTATATGAATGGAACATTGAAGATCAGCGACTTTACCTGGTATTTATGAAAAGCATCACCAACACAATGTACTTAAAAAATAAGAAAGTAATCTCGTGTAGATGGCGTTGTGAAACGGTGGTGTGTATATCCTCATTTATGTTCGTCGAAGTGTATACAAACATGCGTAGGGGGAGACAAAACCCGCGATGTATTCAGCAGATAATTTTGTTATGGGGTTGGTTTTGGGTAGATTATTTGCCTATTCTGTACGCTCGACGGTTTCGACCCTTTCTAACGTGTATACGGTTTTTACAGTCGTGTATTGTTATTAGATCGCATTTGAGCAGAAATGTCTGGATAAATGTCGTGAGGTTTATTATATATGTATAATATATAAAAAATATAAAAAATAATAATGTGAAAATTTGCAGAACACAGAACGCGACAAATTATTTTGTGTAAATTCAAATACCACCTGAGAAGCTCCACTTAAATAATACGATGTAAGCATGGCTGAGAAAGACGGGTCGAAAGGAGCCAACGACATACGTCCTTGTGGATAGGTTTTCGTCACGCTGACGATGCATAGATCTAAATGTAGCAGGGCGTGGAGTCATCCCACAGATGACATCCTTACCTTGTCAGCTTGCTGACGGGGTTAACCTCTTTGGTCATGTGGACAAGGCGTCCGACCTCTGATCAGAAGGTCCGTGGTCCGAATCCCATCACGGGACTCGGAAATTTTATGGCCGTTACATTGGCGCCCAACGTGGGGCTGAGCACGTTCATATTAAATTTGAGCAAAATAAGCCTCAGTACCCAACTATGCGGCCCAGGACGTGCCTTCTGTTGACGCGGGTGTATGTAGCAGGGCGTGGAGTCATCCCACAGATGACATCCTTACCTTGTCAGCTTGCTGACGGGGTTAACCTCTTTGGTCATGTGGACAAGGCGTCTGACCTCTGATCAGAAGGTCCGTGGTTCGAATCCAATCACGGGACTCGGAAATTTTATGGCCGCTACATATGAAACAGGAGAGGCGGATTCACTAGTCTCTTTTATTTCTTGTTCAGGTAGGTAAACTATAGTATACATGCCATTTAATAATTTGATATCACAAAACTATGGAATACTGTAATGGATATTAGCGCAAATCTCGACCTTTGGAAACGAGCTAAAATGCCCAAAGTACCAGAATGCGAGATCGCGAGAACGCGAGAACGCGAGAACGCGAGTTTTGACCAAAATCTCTTGATCTCGCATTCTCGTGTATTTTGTACATAACATTTTTTGTCAAAAGTCGACAACGCGAGAATGTGACATTTGGACATGATGTGAAATCTCGTAATCTCGCAATCTCAGGCCACAAAAACGCGAGAATGCGTGCGCAGACGTAATATCATAAATTCAGTGCGACTGCGCGCTTTATTAGTCCCGATGTCATGCTTTGTTCTTGCACTTCATTTTCCATGTAGCATTCAGCAAAATTATGACCTCGACACTTGAAAAGAATCACGAAATATCGCGATGATTATTTAACGTCTTTTGGTATGACGCGGCCACCAGTGGCGACGTCTTCAGCTTGAAAGTGCTGGGTAATTTTAACACACAATCCTATGTAATGCATGCAAGTTCTCTCAAGTTGTTAGGGTTTCAAGTGTCCTTTAATTAAAAACCTTCTCCACATGATCAATATAATCTAACCAAAACAAATGTGAGTATATGAATGGCCAATGATACTGAAACATACAGCGTCCGGAAGCTGGAAAAAAGAGACATCACCGTCAGTTATAGAAACTATCACAGGCCAACGAGCTTCACCATGAGGTTTTTCGTCTAGCACATGCATTCAAACAAAATTTACACAGACCAATTTTGAGCGTTCGGCTAAAACGAGCAGGCCCGATAATTTACACGACTCAATATTCACTACTTAAGGCCATAAAAAATAATTAACTGATTTCCCCTCCCACTGACTACGAAACATCCCACATCACAAAATGGCCCTACTAAAAACGCATGATGCACGTGAATTGTATCCTTCGACAGTAACTCTTCACAGATGCCATAAATAGTTCGACAGATGCCTTAAATAGTTCGTTAGATGCCATAAAAAGTTCGATCAGGAACAAATAAAATGCCTCCCGCCTCCCATATCCTTAACAATTCAATCAAACTGTAATACTTAATTTATTGTGGCCATAACATCCACATTCAGAATGCGAGAATGCCCCTAACAGTACTCCATACAAAACATTTGTATCGTGTTTCACCTGCTTTGCCGTTCTTAGTCCGTCATTACACCTAATCATGTTACTGTTTCAGAATATGACAAGGACCAGAAATCAGGAAAAAAGGTGTCAGCCTTTCTTGGACCCGACTTGTGGGACGAGACCTACGACAATACTGACATCAGCTTGGAATACAATGATCTGGAAGAATTCTTGAAAGAGAATGGCATCCCAAACAATCCGGACAATGTGAACGCTGCCAATCTGAACAAGTTTCAGTCTCCAAACAGACAGGTTATCAGTAGTGGTCACAACCTCCAGGCATGTGACTCGCCACAAGACACGTTAGCCAGGAACAGCCAACAACCCATCAACTCAGCTCCAGACACGTTACCCAGTATGCGCCAACAAGCCATCAACTCAGCTCAAGACACGTTTCCCAGCGGAAATTGTATGGCCGCTACGTATGAAACAGGAGAGGCGGATTCACTAGTCTCTTTAATTTCTTGTTCAGGTAGGTAAACTATAGTATACATGCCATTTAATAATTTGATATCACAAAACTATGGAATACTGTAATGGATATTAGTGCAAATCTCGACCTTTGGAAACGAGCTAAAATGCCCAAAGTACCAGAATGCGAGATCGCGAGAACGCGAGAACGCGAGTTTTGACCAAAATCTCTCGATCTCGCATTCTCGTGAATTTTGTACATAACATTTTTTGTCAAAAGTCGACAACGCGAGAATGTGACATTTGGACATGATGTGAAATCTCGTAATCTCGCAATGTCAGGCCACAAAAACGCGAGAATGCGACATTTCATTTTCTCGCAACGGTTCTCGGGGTTCTCTGAAATCTCGCTTTTTAGACGTTATCCGTGCGCAGACGTAATATCATAAATTCAGTGCGACTGCGCGCTTTATTAGTCCCGATGTCTTGCTTTGTTCTTGCACTTCATTTTCCATGTAGCATTCAGCAAAATTATGACCTCGACACTTGAAAAGAATCACGAAATATCGCGATGATTAATTAACGTCTTTTGGTATGACGCGGCCACCAGTGGCGACGTCTTCAGCTTGAAAGTGCTGGGTAATTTTAACACACAATCCTATGTAATGCATGCAAGTTCTCTCAAGTTGTTAGGGTTTCTAGTGACCTTTAATTAAAAACCTTCTCCACATGATCAATATAATCTAACCAAAACAAATGTGAGTATATGAATGGCCAATGATACTGAAACATACAGCGTCCGGAAGCTGGAAAAAAGAGACATCACCGTCAGTTATAGAAACTATCACAGGCCAACGAGCTTCACCATGAGGTTTTTCGTCTAGCACATGCATTCAAACAAAATTTACACAGACCAATTTTGAGCGTTCGGCTAAAACGAGCAGGCCCGATAATTTACACGACTCAATATTCACTACTTTAGGCCATAAAAAATAATTAACTGATTTCCCCTCCCACTGACTACGAAACATCCCACATCACAAAATGGCCCTACTAAAAACGCATGATGCACGTGAATTGCATCCTTCGACAGTAACTCTTCACAGATGCCTTAAATAGTTCGACAGATGCCTTAAATAGTTCGTTAGATGCCATTAAAAGTTCGATCAGGAGCAAATAAAATGCCTCCCGCCTCCCATCTCCTTTACAATTCAATCAAACTGTAATACTTAATTTATTGTGGACATAACATCCACATTCAGAATGCGAGAATGCCCCTAACAGTACTCCATACAAAACAGTTGTATCGTGTTTCACCTGCTTTGCCGTTCTTAGTCCGTCATTACACCTAATCATGTTACTGTTTCAGAATATGACAAGGGCCAGAAATCAGGAAAAAAGGTGTCAGCCTTTCTTGGACCCGACTTGTGGGACGAGACCTACGACAATACTGACATCAGCTTGGAATACAATGATCTGGAAGAATTCTTGAAAGAGAATGGCATCCCAAACAATCCGGACAATGTGAACGCTGCCAATCTGAACAAGTTTCAGTCTCCAAACAGACAGGTTATCAGTAGTGGTCACAACCTCCAGGCATGTGACTCGCCACAAGACACGTTAGCCAGGAACAGCCAACAACCCATCAACTCAGCTCCAGACACGTTACCCAGTATGAGCCAACAAGCCATCAACTCAGCTCAAGACACGTTTCCCAGTAAGAGCAAACAAGCCATTAGTTCAGCTCCAGACACGTGTCCCAATGACAGTCCACAAACCACTCCATCGCCACAAAATATGTTTCCCAATGGCATTCCACAAACCACTCCATCGCCACAAAATATGTTTCCCAATGACAGTCGACAAACCACTCCATCGCCACAAAATATGTTTCCCAATGACATTCCACAAGCCACTCCATCGCCACAAAATATGTTTCCCAATGACAGTCCACAAGCCACTCCACCGCCACAAAATATGTTTCCCAATGACATTCCACAAGCCACATCATCGCCACAAAATACGTTTCCCAATGACAGTCGACAAACCACTCCTTCGCCACAAAATATGTTTCCCAATGACAGTCGACAAGCCACTCCATCGCCACAAAATGTGTTTCCCAATGACAGTCGACAAACCACTCCATCGCCACAAAATATGTTTCCCAATGACATTCCACAAACAACTCCATCGCCACAAAATACGTTTCCAAAAGACATTCCACAAATCACTCCATCGCCACAAAATATGTTTCCCAATGACAGTCCACAAGCCACTCCACCGCCACCAAATATGTTTCCCAATGACATTCCACAAACCACTCCATCGCCACAAAATATGTTTCCCAATGACATTTCACAAACCACTCCATCGCCACAAAATATGTTTCCCAATGACAGCACGCAAGCCACCTCCATGTCCCCAATCACGTTTCCCAGGCAACTGCCACCTCACCAGTCACAGCTCGCCGTCTCGCAATACGACACGATGCCATCACCACCAACATCAGGTATGTGGTTGAGGATATCATCACCGTGTCCGGGCAAGGCCTTGTAATGCCACGAAAGCTTTCTTAGGTTACCAGTTGTCTATGTGAGAAATTTAGAGTACAGGCTTCTTCAGCAGGGATGCCCTATTGAACAGTTCAAGAATTGTTTTCGTTTTGAAGACTTGTTTGCCACCCTCACAAAGTACTCGAGGTGTTTTGCAACGTTTGTTTAGTAAAATCAGTGGAAATTGTCTACCGATCGGGTTGAGAACGTACTTTCAAAGAAATATTTCCTGTTGCGATGACTGAGTTATCAGCAAGATCATGGCCTAACGTAGCGCTAAATGAACAGATTTCAAAATGCATCATGTCAAACTCGGATGTAAGAATTTTGTTTGGAGTCTTTAAAACTGGAGACTAAGATGTGTTATTGCATACTTTTCAGCTCTAACAGAAAGTAAGCTTGGTGAATCCAAGGCCACTGAGTCGTCGTACACGGGTGGGCCCGAGCCTAAAGTAGACTTTGACCTTTCACCTCCTGATTTGGCTTTGGTGAGCATACCAGGTGTGTATTGTTTTTCTGACCCATGTTTTCCTACTTTGTAGTGACCTCCTCGGCAGCTTACAGTCCTGTAGGAAGTCCAGCAGCCAGTCCTAAATCTGTTGACTTTTCTGTGTCTTCAGATGATTTGACTCTCGTTAATATCGAAGGTAAAACATATATAATGTGTGTCTTCTGTTTTTAAAGGTATATCTGTATGGTCCATCACTTGGTTGTCTGGTTTGTTTAGGGCGAGAGTACTACTCTGCGGCGTCAGGCAACAAATTTTAAACAAACGTTTACTTTTATATGCAAATTGTGAGAGTGGCAAGTGCTGCCGGTAGGGCTGGACATGCCTACCCCTTTCGCGAACAGCTGGTGTCATCGCTGACTTTAAGCGATCATTCATATATTTTTCACCGCTATTTTGCCTTTTACGGCTAATGGAATCTGTTTCAGCGGATCATCGAGACTGATTATTCTCTGGCGTTGACGTTAATGTCAATATTGTTGTTGCAGGCTTAAAAGACTTCGATCCTCGAAAGCGAACATTTTCAGAAGAAGAGTTGAAACCTCAGCCGATGTTTAAGAAATCAAGAAAGGTATGTCCACTTAGCGTTTTGACAACCAGTGCCTAATGTATCTTCGTTGCCTTCTCCAGAGAACGAAGATTAAGGTTGGAGTTTCACATCAGCATCATCCTTGTTGTTAATGTGCATCTCCACCAGCAAAATACAATACAGGGCGGTGGGATAGCCTAGTGGTTAAAGCGTTCGGTCGTCACGCTGAAGGCCCGGGTTCGATTCCCCACATGGTGCGCGTTTTCTCTCTTTATTTGTTCAAGTTCTCTGCGAAGAACCGTGTTTTCGCGTCCTGATGTCCCTGGTCGTGATATTGTTGGAATATTGCAACAGCGGCGTAAAATCCAACTCACTCACTCAATATACAATACATATATTTCATGCCGAGACGTTAACATTGCACCCCCACCCCTCCAACACACACAGACACAGACACACACAGACACACACACAGACACACACATACACACACACAGTCTGCTGTGAGGTGTCGAGCAACAAACAATTAGCTTTTTATGCAAATTGTGTGAGCGGCGGATGCTACCGGCAGTCAAGGACATGCTTGTCCTTTCTGGAACAAAGGTTTTCAGTGATTCATTCATATATATATATATATATATATATATATATATATATATATATATATATATATATATACATAAAAAATTAGGTAAATGTTCACTCGGTGTACATGTAATATATAATAAAATAATAAAGTCCACGTTAGTCCATCATCTTCTTTATATTCACAACAACAAGTAGTAATTGAATTTGTTGACATGGCAGCAGTGTCATGCACCCTGATATAGGGGTTTCAGAGATTCAATGGTATATTTTATATAATTCCAGATCTTTGTCCCTGACGACAACAAAGATGACAGATACTGGTGCCGGAGGAAGAAGAACAACGTCGCAGCTAAACGATCCCGGGACGCCAGACGCATCAAGGAGAACCAGATAGCCATGAGAGCTGCATTCTTGGAGAAGGAAAACTCAGTTCTTCGCACTGAACTTGAACAAATAAAGAGAGAAAACGCGGATATATTGATCTCATTGACCGAGTTTGAGACAATGGAACCATAATGGACACGTCTTCGATTTTTCTATAAGATGTTAGTTTGTACATAGTTGGACCTGTACGCTAAAATGAATTCGTCTGTGATGAAGACAAACACCCCATGCCGTCGGGGAGCGGTAACACGCAATCAAGACACCGATCATGGTGCCCGATCCATTTGGTCGCCAATTACGTTGGTTGGTTCGTTTGTTGTTTAACGCCACACTCAGCAATATTCCAGCTGTATGACGGCGGTCTATAAATAATCGAGTCTGGACCAGACAATTTAGTGATTGACATCATGAACATCGATCCCTGCAATTGGGGTCGATCACATTCATCAGCCAAGTCAGAGAGCCTGACCACCCGATCCCGTTAGTCGCCTTTACGACAAGCATAGTCGCCTTTTACGTTCCTGAGGACCTATTCTAACCCTGGTCTTCACGGGTCCGTTAATTACGACAATGCATGATAAGTTGGCTTCCATATTTTACTTCATGCTGGTATTGTCTTGTAAAACAGGAATATCCCCAGCTGAAGAAGATAGATTTATAACATGTTAATACTGTTAAATAGACCGAAATGCCATTCTGTAGAAAAGATATCTGCAGTATTTGGTACAGAGACTATATGAATTTACTGTTATAGTGTTGTCAAATAAACATATTATTTTTTTATTGAGTTTTATGTTGTGTTAAAGCAATATAAACAGGTATCTAGTGATTGTAATGGATGGATAAGAGATGGAAAGGATTAGGTGTACTAACAGATTATGTTGGAGGTTTATAGGAAAGGTGCAAACAACCAAGAAACACGAGGGGTGTGTAGTGAAAGGATGGAATCACAATCGTGATGTGATACGTACCACTCCAGATAGGATACGTACCACTCCAGATATAATACGTACCGTCACTGTACGTCCTTGTTAGAATCAGGGCCTCGTTCCACAAAGCGATCGTAACGCTACGATTGCCAAAAGTCTATGTTAATGTATAGGAGTTATTATCGTCTCAGCGCTGGAAAGGCCCAGAATGGTATCACGTAAATGGTTTTTGGACTTTAGTCAGGCAACCCCGTTAGTCAGTCAAATCCGCTCGTCAGACAACCCCGTGAAGTTGGCAACCGATTTAGCCAGGCGATCCCGTTGGTCAATTCAATTGTTATTGCATGTGCATGGTAGACTTGGACTTGGAAGAGGAATTTCCTTTCATGTAATTAATTTTCCAAGCCGTAAAAATATATAGCTAAAAAATCTAAATGATTCTCCTACACAAGAATGAAATCATATTGCCGCACGTTGTACCGGCATCTTCCAACACCACACTGCTGGACTGGACCCTTTTCTGTTCAATGTCTTTATACTGGGTGAGGACATATAAGATTACAGCAGTGCGGTATATCATTGCACTTTCATAGCTACATGAATGCATGTAATAATGTGCGTGGGGGTGGAGGGTGAGTGGGTGTGGGGTGTGGGGTGTGTGTTTGGTGTATATGCCTGTGTGCGTGGTTGTTTGTTCTATCACAATCCGGTTTTATAGTGCTAGCGCACTGAGATATCATGCTGCATTTTGAACATGAATACCCCACTCACAGGATACATCTATGCATGTCGCGGCCACCAATCGGAGGTCACCCGAGTCCCAGGCATTCTGTAATATAAACCTCCACTGTACGCGACATACACCAAAAAAGAGAAACACCTTGACACGAATCTGAAAACCTAGTTCACTCGGTCGGCACACACGCTTGCAGCCTTACCAGACTGTAAACGTTGAACTAACACTGGTTTTGATGGTTCCAGATTGGAAAATATACGGGGCATAAAAAAAAATCTTGGCCTATTCCTATGTTTATGTCACTTTCGTTTGTAAAATACTTTAGGTTTCTGCTTGTTTAATAAAATCGCCTATAAGTCTCCTTTTCTTACGAGGTGAATATCTACTGCCGGACTATATAAACTATACCATGGTTGATGGCTAAATATGAAAGAAACAAGAAATGGTTATTCCATGGTGATGTATTTGATACGGGTATGTGGTTTGGACCTTAATTGCTTTGTTTCGGTGACTGGTTTCAACCTAGTATCTTTTTCATGACGAGTGAAATGTTTTGGGTCAAATCCAACTCCAAGTGTATACTTTCTTTTTCCCGGCAGTTATATTACGAGGTTTATGAACAATATTCAGACTACCGTAAGAGCTTCAATATATATGTCGAAACAATTTTCTTTTATACAATTTCACACATTGTACCCATATCGGGAATCGAACCCTGGTCTTCGGCGTGACGAGCGAACGCTTTAACCACTAGGCCAACACCAGTTGTGTGAGTGTCTGCGGCGTGTTCTGACGTTGACGTACATGTCGATCGAGTTCATCCCAGAGATGTACGATTGGGTTGAGATCTGGAGATCTCGACGGCCAGGGCAAGTCGTTGATGTTCGCATTATGCGGGTATCCTACCGTGACACGAGCTGTGTGCGGTGGAGCGTTGTCCTGTTGAAACGGCCCCCTCTGGCGGTCAATGATTGGAAGAAGGTGAGGTTGAAGAATTTGATTCATGTCACGATATGCTGTCAAATTTCCCTGAACCACAACCAAGTCAGATCTCGTGGTGTAGGATATGGCTCCCCACACGATGACACGACCACCACCAAAATTGTACACAACGTGGGGCAAAACGCCCATTTCGATGATGATAAACACGATGTCTTCCATCTTGCCGGTGAAGAAGAAATCGTGATTCATCGCTAAACCACACTCGTCTCCAGTTTCTCAAATTCCAAGGCTGTTAGATATGGCAGCAACGCAAGCGTCGTTATCGATGGATCTGTTGTAACGGAGATGATAACTGATCTTCTTGGTCGGATTCCAGCCTCAGGAAGATGGTTCCTGACAGTCTGGTCCGATATCCTCCTCAAACCAGGGATGCGTCCTGCAGTCTCCGTAGCTGTGGCATTGCGATGACGTTGGTGGAACAGTCCAATGTAGCGATCCAGTGCAGGGGAGGTAACTCTCGGTCGGCCGGTTCTCGGGCGGTCTGCAGTGGAACTGAACTGTGTGTATCGGTCCCAAAGGCGGTGCTGTGGTGCGTCCTGTGGCGATGTTCCGATCGGCAGCGCTGAGCCTCGGCATTTTCGAACTTGAAAAATGTTGACAATTGAAAGACAAATTATTGGCTTATGCTTGCCATTTTATAGCCACTACCCCGAGTTACGAATGCCATAACTTGCACATGCATTTTACTTTACAGTTTTTCTCCATGACATTTTTGAAAAAGTGTGAAAAAAATGCCGTTTAAGACATTGCAAATCTACAATGGCTGTGTTTTGAGGCACCGTTTGTCGAATATCAGGCCACCAACATTTTCCAATAACATATATCCAATTTATATACCTGATGTTTTGTGTAGTCAGTTAACTACATACTACCTGTGCTTTTTTTTTTTTTGAAGAGTGTACAAGACAGTAGACATCAATATTTATTATGTGCATATTCACATCCACATCCACATCCACATCCACAACCTAAAGGATGCTAAAACCGGTACATTATTACCCAGGCCAATGGATCAGTGTGCACTCGATTTTCATTCTCAGCTCCCTGGGGTGTGTGCAACCATACAAAATCTTCTGATCCTACCGCGAATCCATTTACCGCTTGGTGAACAGAAGCACATATGTTAGATGTGCTACATGTGCTTCAGTTTTGGGCAGGACAGAAGCCGTAGAAACTCCTCTTATTGGTTCCAAAACAAGTTTATCGGTTCCTATTATGGTGCCCAAGCTCTGTTGCATTAGATAAATGATTTGTATATACAGCATGTTTATAATCACGCATGGGGAGTGAAAGTATTGATTGCTTAAGCGTTTGAATCAACCATTCAAGGTTTGTGTTATCCATTATGCTAATATGTCTTGGTCATCACGCCGAAGTCCATTGTTCAATTCCCCACCCAGGTACAAAGAGTAAACAATATGTGAAGCTCCCTGGTACTCCCTGTCGTGGTTTTGATGGAATATTTCTAAAACCGCCTTAAACGATTTCACTCAGTGAAATCAATGGAGGGGAGAACAGAACCCTTGACGTTGTGGGTGGTTTCTCCGTCTCATGAACAAATGTGCGGTATAGGAATTCTTAAATTGGAGGCTTCACAATGTGTATTTCGCTAATCTATTTAAAATGAAACGAAATAAAAACGAAATATTTTCCCATTCTCTCATACGTGCGGTGTACGTAAGAATTTTCCGTCCATGAATGCCCCCACACATTAGCTGACGCTTCAATGACAGGGCTACACAAAGGACGTTGGGAAAGTGTCGCAAAAATAACTGCATCATTACCGCCCTTAACGTATACATTAGCAAGGTCACATTATGAAAAAATGTTTGCGACAATAACAATAACTCCAGTTTGGTGATATTATGATTTCAGAATGACAGCGGCGTTTCAAACACTGAGTCACTGTATTCAAACGTTTGTGTTGAAGGTTCCATCGTTAACATCTTCTCACTCATACGTGTATGCATGATACCATGTTTACATATTGAAACTCGAATTATGATTTTACAAAATAGATGCTGGGTGAGAGAACGGAGAACTTCATATTATAATGTTTTATCATTATTTGACAACAAGGCCGGTTGGTTTGTTGTTTTACGCAGCACTCAGTAATATTCCAGCTAAATGACGGCTGTCTGTAAATAATTGAGTCTGGACCAGACAATCCAGTGATTGATATCATAAGGACGAGAAAGTATGGAGACAAGTAGCTTAAAAATGACTAAATTATTACTTGAGGATAGCGTTTATTCTTTAAACCATTTTCTTTTAAATAACTGAAATACCTGCTCAATCGGGTATAAAGTCTCGGGCGACATCGATGAAAGGGATCCCCTGTAGGGAGAAACCAACCGTCGAGCGAAATATACCAGACAGTAGACAATAATAATAATAGTAATATAAACAGTAATAATAATAGTGGCGCGATCATTTTATTACCGTCTTCGCCATGCTTGTGGTCTTGACACAGAGGTCCACCCGTGGTACGACCCGGAATATGTCGAAAGCGTCATGGAAAATGATAAATACAAAATTCTTTGCAATAGGCCCATTTACAGTCTCAGGCGTATCCAGGCCAACTAACCTGATTTTGTCCCTTTTGATAAATTCAATGAAATCATTTATATCATTGAATTTTCTGTCCCCTTTGACACTAATGTGATTGACAAGATTGAGTAAAAACATGGCAAATATGCGGACCTGGGTTTCGAAATGTCAAGCTTTCATCCCAAGTACCAAGTTGTCCGAC